TTAACACGTGAATAAGAAAGTCACAGAATTTTAAAGCGAAAGTTGTGTTAAATTTGGCAGCGTTCAATATCATCGATTGGGAAATGAGACGATCCAACGAGATTTTGAATGAAAAATTGAATTTGGAAGATACGGATAGTGCATTAAACAACATGGTAGACGTTAGAGCTTGTTATAAGCCAAACGGAAAAGTAAGAATAAATGTTTATTATTTTACATCCAAAAATATGGCATTGATTTTAATCATAAATTCGATACATTATTGTAGACAAACGATAGACATTTAAATACATGTCTAAAAGAGATTAAAATTTCTTGTCAAATGAACAATGGAATTAAATGAATTACAGAATATAATTATCATAAAAATAATAATTACAATAATATTCTAGTTTCATTGAATATTTGATTAATTTTAGGATATACAATGCCATGACATTTTAAAAGTCTTTATATACATATACTTTGCATTTTTATGTTTGTCAGCGTTGCTCGTTTTTCATTTAAATGAATGTTAGATTAAATAGATATTGTATATATGTGCTCAGTTTGTGCATGCATGTGTGTTTTTATTATATATTATATGAATATATTATATATCAAATTAGACTACATTTATTTATTCATATCATTTAAGCATGGTATATATTTTAAATTGCATGTTAAACATTTATAATAATGCATTATTTATAATTTAAAACAAAATGACAGACGTGTCAGGAACAGAATAAAAGTGTTAAATTTAATAACGATTATATATGTATGTTAATCATATTGAAAACATAGAAGTATAATGTGCATACTTATCTATTCGTAAAGAAAGATACTATTAGTCATTATAAATAAAGATTATATACTTATAATCTTTGAAAAGTTTTAATTTGTCATTAGATGGACAGTGTTTTTTATTATTTTTTCTTTTATTTTATTGTTTCTTTAGTAAATTACGCATGATCTCACCATGGTAGCGACACAATATTGCTAGGAAGCCATTTGAGTATGTGGTCCCATTTATCATTTTTCTATACATGGGTCCAGATTTGTTGATTTCTACAGTCTGCTTTATGCTAAGGCCTATTGTTGGAGATCACAGATGTATATGTCCAATGGATATTATTTTGGAAATATATTGATTGTCATCAAATATGATCAACAATGAGTGAGGTAAGTGCTTTATGATCTCTCATGCTCCCTCTCTTATTCTTTTCTCTTTTCTTCTTCGTTTCTATTCATTAATAATTTAACTTGTATCAAACAGATTTTTAATTAAAATATGAAATAAAAATAGTTTTACTATTTATACGTATTACTTTTTTCTTTGCATCATTTATTTAATTTTATTTTGTGTGTGACAACTGAATTCTTTTAAAATTATCTTTTAAATCTGTTTTTATAACATATATTATTATAACGTGTCAATATCAATACTTAAATATTGTAATTTATTAATAACCTGAAATTTTTTATCTAATTACCTTTTATCATATATATATTAAATTTTGTATTATGGAATATAGAATATTTTAATAGATAATTTACTTTATTTATTTTCATAATTCTATATGTTATATATTTTTATTATATATTTTTTTAATATAATATAGTATACAATAATATGATATATATGATGAAGATATATTAAAATAAAATTAAAAAACAAAGTTTCTGTTTTGTTAAAATATGAGGGAAACGAAAAGAGGAAATACAGAGAGATAATACAGGTATTCATAATAAAATATTTTATTAAAGCAAATGATTCATTCGGAATATTTATGAAATGATTTTCTATTCAACTATAAAAATTTTGTTTGCCATATTGTTTTCATTGATCGATGAACAATTACTTGGAATATTTTTATTTAATTAGGTAATATTTTTTATTATCTAATGAAAGTAAAGATATTTCTATCCTAGAAAAATATTATAATAATATCTTGTAAATAGTAGCAATATATTTAAAAATATTTTTTACCATTATGTATACATTATTTTGCTGTATTTGTGACAATAGAAATTTATATTTTTCTTTTGCTTTTATAAAAATATTGCGTATATAGTACATATAAATAAATTATTTCATTATTTATAATGCTGCATTGATGTTTTGTAACACCATAAATTCCGATAAAAATGTTTAACTATATATTTATATATATATATTTTTTTCATTATCATTGTGATGTTAAGCGCTGATAAAGTATTTTAAAATTGCATGTGGCTGTATATTATTCAATGTAATAATTATGCATAATATAATTTTATTGCACTTTATTAAAATAATTCGTTAATTGTTCATTTTAATAACTAAAATTTGGACAATAATATATTTTGCTCATTCATTATTATTATTGTAGTCATGGTTTCGAGGTGTTCGGAGCAGCAAATTCCGTCACGTTTATGGTATACCAGCTAAGAGGGAAAAATGTTATGACAATATCAAGATTACAAAGAATGCTCATGACTCACAGTTTTGTGCTGTCAATCCTAAATTTCTAGCGATTGTTACAGAAGTAGCTGGAGGTGGCGCATTTCTAGTATTACCTCTCGATAGAGTAAGTTATATAATGAAGAAAAAAATGATTTATTTACTATGAATGTTTTAAAAAATAGACATTGAGTAAATGATTATCATTATATTATTTCAGACTGGACGTTTGGATTTCAATGCTAGTAGAGTTACTGGACATACGGGACCTGTTTTGGATATTAAATGGAATCCATTCAATGATAATATTATCGCATCTTGTTCAGACGATTGCACAGTATGATGCAATAATTTAATATTTACCATTCTAATTTAATTTAAACTTTAACTTAAACTTACTATATTGAAAGTTTTAATATTTGAAATAATAATTACAGATAAAATTATGGCATATACCAGATGGGGGGCTATCTAGAAACTTATCAGAATGGCTTATTGAACTACAAGGTCATAAACGTCGAGTATCATACATAGATTGGCATCCTGTAGCTGAAAATATCCTTTTCAGCATAGGTTTTGATCATCTTGTTATTGTTTGGGATGTCGGTAGGGGAGAAGCAGTGAACATCATTGACAGACATCCTGATGTAATATATAGTTTATCTTTAAATCGAGATGGAAGTTTATTAGCAACAACATGCAAAGATAAAAGATTACGTGTCTTTGAACCTAGATCAGGTATTATAGTTTCGGTAAGTTTATAAAAGTGGAGGAGCATTCATTTATTCTCTTTTTACTTTTAATACAATTATTAATTTACTTAATACAATTGTTATTTGTTTTTTACAAATAATTATCTTATTTGATAAATACTATGTAGCTGTTTACTATAATATTAAATTTGTTTTTAACATTCTAAGAGATAAAACGCAGAATACCCATTTATTTTTAAGTTATATGTTCAAATATATATTAGATGATTTTTTTTTTATATCTTTCTTTCTAGCCAAATGTAAACAATAAGATAAATAGTTTCCTCTTTTCTCAGATTTTTCATTTTTCATATATTATAAATTCATGCTCAATTCAGGAAGGAGTTTGTCATGCTGGAACCAAAGCAAGTAAAGTGGTATTTCTTGGTGGATCTGGACGTTTATTGACTACCGGATTCAGTAGACATTCAGATAGACAATACGCAATTTGGTGTCAACATGATTTAACAGCTCCTCTTACTCGTGAAACTATAGATTCATCTAGTGGTGTTATTTTTCCGTATTTCGACAATGATACAAATATGGTGTATTTAGCAGGAAAGGTAATAAACGTATTAAGATAGATACATCCAAGAAGATAATATTGCTTTAATATTAATATATATACAGATTGGAATAAAGAAAAATTTCTTTTTACTTATTTTCAGGTATGACTTTCACTGTAGTAATTATTACTATAGTGAATATTTTTAAATAAAAAATTTAACATTTGTTTTCTACAGGGTGATGGTAATATTCGGTATTATGAGGTAGTTAATGAAGTTCCATGGATGCATTATCTCAGTCAATTCATCTCTGGTAATCCACAAAGAGGATTAGGTGTAATGCCAAAAAGAGGCATAAATACAAGTATTTGCGAGGTTTTTAGATTTTATAAATTACATGCAACTCGAGGCATGTGTGAACCGATTTCAATGATTGTACCTCGAAAGGTAAAAAAAAAGTAAACTCAATAACAAGTTATGTGACCTATAACTACAAGTAATATACTTAACAACAATATTAACTGATATCAATTTACATGTTTTAGTGTTTTTATGTTCTATTTTGTAGAGCGACCAATTTCAAGAAGACTTGTATCCTGATACTATAGGTACCTGTCCTGCACTTTCAGCAAGAGATTGGATCAGTGGCATGAATAATCCACCAATATTAATATCACTTAAAACAGGTATAAAATCATTTTAATGTAAATTTAAGTGGATGTTTAATAATCATAAACATTATAATCATTATTTTTTTCTATTGTTACTTCCATAGGTGGTAGTATTTCTACGCATAAACCACGCGTATACAAGCAACCATTATTACCTCCAGCGACAGATTTAAATAATAAGAAAAAATTTGCATTTTTGTCTACCGAAACTGTTCCTGATTACAGACCAGTAGAGTTACACAATATAACGGAAAAAAGTCAAAAAACATCCAGCAATCAAAGCACTAAATTTCAACAGTTACAACAAAAATTTGCCAATGTAAATTTACAAGTAAGAAAACGATAAAAAAGCCTCGTAAAGTAATCTATTTTCTTACTATTTTGCGAAGACTATGTCCCATGTATAGTATAGTCAATTACAAGCAAAGTTATTTTTTACAGAATAATATAATAACAACATCGCTAAGCAACAATAAAGTTATCGAGACCATTGACGTTCCTAACAACGAAGCAGAACTTAGATTGGCATATGTACGTCAAGCAGATGAATTGCGGTTGATGCGCCGTCAGCTTGCTAACAGCCAACTTCGTATAAAGGAATTAGAAGAACAAGTGCGTAAATTACAACATCAGTAACGCTTGATAATGCCTTTTAGTCAAAGAATTTCATCAGTATCCTTTATATAAACTTTTTATACATTTCGTGCAAATTGTGAAACCAAATAGTCTGCTATATTCGTGCTTTAAGAACAAAATAATCTTAAATGTTCATGAAAATGAGATGAAATTGCATGCGTAAGTTCTTTTTTTTTACAAATTTGTATTGCATATATAAAATATGTGGATATCAAGTACATTATTATGAAGATTTATGCAAATTGCGTATTAAATTAATGGATTTCCAACATTTCTTTTGAACATTTTTCCAATTCGTATATAAAATTATATCAAGTTTCAAATGTACAAACAAAATTAGAAGTTCAAAGTAATATTCTTATTATATATATATATTATATATATAAATTAAAACAAATTAGACAAACAATATAATATTCATATAATCTTGCTACTTTTTTACTTGTGCATTAAAACAGATAAATAACATAAAAAGAGTAAATACAAATACATATACACATGTCATGTATGCTCTATAATAAAATGTTCTTAATATTTGTTGTATTACTCGTTAAATAAAATAATATGCCAAAGAAAATTTTACAGATTACTCGTATTAGAAAATATTCTCGTATTAGAGTTTAAGATTATACATTTATTAAAAGTAAAGTATCAAAATGCATAGATTATTTAATTAAAGTTTGTCGACAAATAAATGTTAAAGAAACAGAATAATTATCATGCACGAAATATTGATAATATTGATAATACAACCAAAATATTTATATATGTAAACTATACTCATTTTCCAAATAGTAAAATATAAGTAATATAATGTCATAAAATTTGATATATGAATATGATTGTTTTTATTAACGATGATGAATCTTCATCTATAAAATAGGGTGAGTAAAAGAAGTAATATAATGGAAACACTGACTGTAGACCTTAAAGTAGATACAGAATTGCATCCATCGCTATTACAGGTGTAGATGCACGTTCGATATGTTAGTTTATCTCCCGGCTGAAGCACATAGTTGCAGTAATTTCCCAAGTGCGAAGTTGAGCAAAATCTTTTTGTACCAACTCCACCTATTAGAATATACATGAATACGTATATATATATATATATATATATTTATAATTACATTTTTTGAAATATAATCACTGCTTATATGAAGTGTTACAAAATAATGATTGAATTACAATTAAGTGAAAGTGTAATACAAGGATAAATATCTATCCTATGTATATACAAATTATAAGTTAGTGTTATTTCTATATATACTTTAAAATTTTTACTGACCATGCATTCATGCATATAAATAAAATAACATATTTTAAACATATTATATAAAACAAAAAGTTAATTGTAAAAACAAAACAATACAAGTAGAGTATTAACAAAAAATATATTCAAATAAAACAAGTATTTAAGCATTAGTAAAAAGAACAAAGAATATAATGTAACAGTTTAAAACAATAATAAGATTTCATAATACGAATAGATTATTAAAATTTAGAACAATTATTTAATGCTTAGCATTATATCTTTTTATATTGTTCATTTTTTAATTCAATGATATATATATATATATATACATATATATATATATCGCTATATACATATACATATATATATATATAATATAGAAATTATTATTCGATATACAGATATACATACTAGGCTTAATTTAGAAATTAAAAAACAATCATGCATATACAACATCGAATAATTTCACCGAATAAACCACGAATGAAAACCTCCATATCGTCCAATGGTTTTGACGCAATAATGCGCTTTGTAAATGTGACTGCAGTTTATTGGTTGTAGAGAATCTTTAATTAATTCACCATCCGAGCATTGCCATTCGTCCGCGGATGTACATTGGTAACATTCCAGGGCTACAATTTGATCAATTAAAATTATTTTCATTGATTATCACTGTTGTTAACACTATGACAATGAATAACAATAGAAAATTTTATCGTATTTCAGTTTTCTAGATATGGTGAATTCCTAAATCAGTGATTATTTATTTATCAGTTATTTAGCATAGACACCAAATAATTAAGATAAAAATAAGAAAAATAATCCCATGGTTAGTTATTAATGTTAGAATACCCCTTCCTTTTGCGTTCTACCAGTGCATGTTATGTGATATTAATTACCCATCAGGCACCGATAGTCTGAAATTTAAAATATTTTTCGTCACTTGTTTTACCCTCAAATCGGCCAATGTGTTTTACACAGTATTGTGCTCCGAAAATGGCATCGCAAGACTCTGGCTCTATGTCAATGTCATTCGTGAGGAACTCGTTGCATTGAAAAGGATGTGTGTTGTTTGTGCTGGTGCATTGGTAACATCGAATACTGTGGACTAAATAACATAACAATAAATAAAAGACAGGTTGATATAATATAACCATATAGAATTTCCATTTCATTCTTTTTTCACTATTTGTTGGTTCAAAAATAATTTGGTAAAAGATCAAAAATACGTATATCGGATTATCATCACATTTCAAAGAATTGCATCTACCTTGAAAAAATATCAAATGAAATTAATGAAGTAATGCTTCTTAAAGAAGTATCATGCAAGCATCGTAGAAGATATAAATTTTCGTAATAAAAGACTGAAACTTCGACTTTGTTACATATCTAGAAACATCATCCTTATTAATAGGAATGCAACGTTTTGAAACAATAACTATAGTATACTATCTTTTGTTTTTATTTCGAAATTTTGATAGTAAAATAAGAACATTTAGGATTTACTTCATATTATATATTTTAACAAAGATGAATCAATATTATTTACGTTATTCTCTAATTCTACAACTTATCTAATTATATATAAATACGTGCTCATATGTACAAAATACATATACATTTAATTGTATTATTGTTATTTGCATTGTATGTGTGTGTGTATGTGTATAATTAGATAATAACTGAAAAGCAAGATCATGCTATACGCATAAACGCGTGATACATATACATATACGAGTATACTTACATTCATATTTGATAAGGATCAGTTCATAAGGATCTCTTTGCGAATCATTTCAAACGATTATAAGAACATGATACATATAAATCACATTCACGAAAAAGATAAATAAAATAATTATTGATACAATTCAATATTATTTTAAATTACACTAATTTTAACATAAGCTGAGAATCTTAATAACATGATAAAATCTTTATGTTTACATATACGAAGTTATTTCATACTATAGCTGTACTCTTATATCATTGTATTAATAATCTTCTAATTGGCAACAAAATTTTGCTAAAAAATATTAACTTCAATGCATAATTGCACTTGCTAAAATTTCCTTAGCATAGAATTGTTTGAATTTAAAATAATTCCGATTGGTCAAATTTTTTGAGTAATACCAACCACATAAATTTATGAAGAAATCTGTTAGTTATGCCTCACCCAGATATTGTCTGATTGTGATAAATTGAAGAATATGCAAATACATTGTGCTATAGAACTTACCTGTTCCAACGTAGATTAAAAAAATCACGAGTATTGTGAGCATCTTCGTAATATCTTTAATAGTCATTTCAATATGATTTTATCATATATTTTACACGGTCGAAAAACGCACAAGTTACCTACGAGTACTACTAACTACATATACACGAATCATTTTATTGGATTATTATCCGAGTAATTCCGAATTTAACCGAATGTTGCCGATCTGATTTGATGACGCATATCTACTCATTAAAAACAAAATGAATTTTCTAGGATTTTTTTATTTTTACCATAATTTTACATATTTCTTTAACATGAAGTGACATTACTTGCATAATTTTTATTATTACATAAATTTCAGATTATAGAAAAGCGTCTTCAGGCGTTCAAAAAAGGTACAGCAAAAAGGAGTTAAGATTTAGGGTTGTTATGAATAACTAATTCTAAATTAAAATTATAAGATCATTTTAGATTTATATCTTCGCCCAATGTTTATTTTTTGAATACTTATTTTATTATTATAAATTTGTTTCTCCATTCTATCTTTTATTAAAATTCAAATGATTAGAGTATAAATATTTAAATATATATATATATATATATATGTGAGTACAGTATGAAATGTATGAATAGACATTAATTTCTAAAAGAACTACTAGAGGCGCTATAATCGAAAAAGCATAGGAGACCTCTGTAAAGGCAATGGTAACTAAATGCAGGCCGTCCCGTTAACACGGAGGCTTGCGTATCCTAATTACATTATTGTAACCTTTCATCAGTCGTCGTCGGCAAAAAGCAAGTACGTCAGTAAGCAGAGAAAAGATGGCTACGAATGTTACGGCTGAATGTCAGTATTTTTACGAAGATGTAATTTATCGTGTGGACAAAAAAGGCAACGTCGTTTTCGGTATCATCATGGAAAACGATGATCAGGATATGTCCGACGAGAGCTCAGATGGCGAGGAAAGTCCCAAACGAAAAAAGGGCGAGATCCGCGTTGTCTGGCATCCGTCTGGAGATGAGGAACTAATAAACTCGAAAAAGGTGTGTAAATCGATCGATTTAAAGAAATGTAATGTGGGGAAAATTTATTAATGATACAGACATTTCTTATCGTTTCTCCGAAAATCACGTTGAGCTTTTGTATAGTTGCAAAAAGCGACATCTTTTGCTTCTGATAATACTATATAATTCTGACAACTATAATTATATTCAAATTTAAATTAACGATATATCCTCAAAGATGTTGGTAGTATTAAACATTGTTGTAATTTAAATCTTATTTTCTATTTGATATGTTCATATATAACACTACCGTTAATTATATTACGTGTAATATATTGTATTTAGGTGCATTTAGCAGATAGGACATTAATGCCAGGTGATGTTGTGCGACGTATGATTAAAGGAAAAGATACACAAAGAGGATATTGTAGAGATATCGAGCTTACTGCGTGCATTCAAATTATTGGCACCAAGCAGGTTCTTACAAATATTAGGAGTGAAGATTTAGTTCCTTTAGAAGTATGCAATGTGATTTATTTATATATATCTTCTTAATGTTTATATACTTATATTACTTATCGTCGTTATGTATTTAAAGGAATTTGCGACAGATATTGCAGTTTGTATGGATTCGTGGGTAGGTGGCATTAGAATGACACACTTCAAAGTTTGGCTAACTACACCTGATGGATCTCGTTGTGTTATAAATGAAATGGATTCACGTGCGCTAGGACAATTGGAAGAAAAACGGGATAATGTAAGAACATTAAATATTTCCAACAATTATGTACTAAAGCTTATAAAAAATATTTTAAATTTTAGGATAATGATTTTCCTCATTCTACTGAATTTTACCCTGGTCAGAATTTATGGGGTCCTATTCACTGCCTAGAAGAAGCACAATGGATTCATTGTACGAAAGAAATGAAAGCAAAAAGAAAGACAAAACCACAGAAAATAACCAAAGTAGTAGTAGAAAAAGTTGAAACAGACTGGGTCGGAGTTCATTGGCAATGCAGAGCATATTCAAAAGATGGAGCTTGGTCTGATCAAGCTCAACCAAAATTTGTTGTTGAAGGAGAGGATTTAAAGAAGTTAAAGTTACTTAATGTTTTTGAACCATCTACATTACAAGTTGGTGATCGTAATTATTATGTGATTAAGGGCAATGAAAATGTTATAACTCGAGAACAATGGAGAAAACAACAAAGAGATATTTTTCAAGTTCCTAAGCATAGTCCAAAAAAAATACGTCCCAATATCAGTGTTACAAAACCAGCTGACGATAAAAAAACAAATGAAAAAAAAGTTGAAGACAAGAAAAAAGGAAAAGAAAAAGAAAACATGAATGAAGAATCCATAGAGGACAGTACACAAAACAATATTAATAATTTACAAAATATTACAAGTGGTAATACATTGATGCCACCACCACATGTACAGAATACTGAGAGTTCAGACGATTGGGATACAGAAGATACTGGTTCTCAGAGTGACACTGGTTCGGTATGAATTCAACCAGCAGAAAATGAAGCAATTAGACTGAATTTTATCATTTTTGTAGATATCCAGTGGATGTTCCAGTATGTCATCTATGGGTAAAAAGAAAAAAGGTCCTGCATTAATGACAAAAGTATTGAAGAAGAAGAAATTATGCAAAGCCAAAAAAAAAGTACCACCTGTTCCATTAATTCCAGGAACTAAGATAGTTGTGGAAACACTTTCCACTAATACAAAAGCCAATGTTGTGTGGCAAGATGGTTCTGTAGAGTTTGGTATGCATGACGAATTTAATATTAAAAGTCATTTTGTTAGCATCTTTAAAATATATGTAATATATTTTCCTATAGGCATTCCATCAACACAGTTATATCCAATTCATCATTTGGACGATAAAGAATTTTTTCCGGGAGATTTTGTTTTAGATCAAAAGGAAGAATCTCGAATGTATGGTGTTGTACAAAGTGTTGATCACCAAGGTCGAACTGCTAAAATAAAATGGTTTAGAACATATACCTGTAGTCAAACTCCACAGTAAGTATTGAATAATTTTATAATTTTATAATTGTTTAGAAAAGAAGTTCGTATACTAAGCATACCATTACCAAACTATTCGCTTTTATACATATATTTTTTTAACAATTGAAAATTGTTAATGTGTAAATTTGTTCTATAGACCAACTTTATTAGAAGAACGTGAAGTAAGTGTTTATGATTTGAAGGATCATCCGGATTTTCAATACAGGCCTGGTACAGTGGTAATACGTATAGCTAATTTTGAAGGAGAGGATGCTGGGTGTACAGCTGGACAAGTATTAGACAATTATCCAGAAGGTCGTGTTAAAGTATGGTGGGTCGATGGACATATTAGTATGTGTTGGCCACAAGATTTATACAAAGTCGGTGAGTATGACAGTGATGAAGGAGAACTTTGGGATGATGTATCATCAGATGCATCATGGGAAACTGAATTAGAAGATTGTTTCATTGCTGATACTGATACGACAGAGCAAACTGAGCTAGAAATAATAAAACCAAAGTTAGCTGCACATATTGAAAAAGCTAGAATTGCAATGTCGAGATTAGAAGAAATTTTTACACAAAATCCATCACTGCAAACTACAGAAGTAATGCGAAAATTGCTGGAAGTTTATAAAGATTGTCGATACATGGATAAACTTATGGGTACATCATTTTTCCATGAAAGTCATTTTCAAGGATTACTTGAACGGGTAAGAGAACGTGGAAGGGCAAACGTAGCACAACGAATGGCAGATCAGGTTACAAGACTGTTTACTCAGAAATCTGATGGATCGGAGGAAAATATAAACAAAGACAATCCAAATATTACTCAAAATACACCTTGTACAATAGAAAGAATAGTAACTAATGTAATGGATGTAGCAACTACTACCAATAAAAGTAATGAAGATAATAATAGAAAACAGAAAGAGGAAGCAGAATCAGATAATCGATTATTGATTAATGTCAATCCAAATCCTGAAGATTCTGGATTATATTCTGCAGAGAACTCCAAAAAAGAATCAGGTTCTAGTGAATCTAGCGGAGAATTTTTACTTAGTGAAGATGTTAATAACGAACGTTTTCTGCCTGCACAAACAACTGAATCAATAAAAACAGAAATAGATAAAACTGCAAAAATGCAAATGCATATAACAAGTTCTCATGTTGCTAGTTCACATGTTTGTGTAAAACTTTGTACCCTTATAAAAGCTCAATTAGTATTGGCACATTCAGAAGTTTCAAAACGCTTTGGTTTATCAAAAATGTCATTATCAGATGCAGCAAAAGGTTCATCGCCCCATAAAAAACAAAAGAAAGAAGAAGAAAAACATGTAGAAACATTGGCAGAACCGTCTGAATCTATGGTAGATATTCCACCATTGATTTATGCGGAAGGTGAAGGATTTTCCATAGAAGAAACTGCTCCGGATAGTCATAAATTTAAATTAACAATGTTCCAACCTACGGATCCAACAAATTTCTTTAGAACAGTTTCAAAAGAGTTGAAACTTTTAAGAAGTTCCCTTCCACCAGGAGTGTGGGTAAAAGGTTTTGAAGATCGTATAGATTTATATTCTGTGATGTTCCGTGGTCCTGAAAAAACACCATATGAGGATGGACTTTTTCTTTTCGACTTTCAGTTGTCTGCAGATTATCCTGCCGCTCCGCCCCTATGTCATTATATTTCTTATTGTAGTGAAAGACTTAACCCCAATCTTTATGAAGATGGAAAAGTATGTGTGAGTCTTCTTGGAACATGGTCTGGTCGTGGAACAGAAGTATGGACTAATTCTTCTACTTTACTGCAAGTTATAGTCTCTATACAAGGTCTTATTCTTGTATCAGAACCCTACTTCAACGAAGCTGGTTTTGAAAAGCAAAAGGGTTCTCAGCAAGGCAGAGAAAATTCTAGAATGTATAATGAAATGGTAGTATTAAAATTGGTTCAAGCTCAAACAAAATTATTGCAATATCCACCTCTTGTGTTTAAAGACATAATTATAGCACATTTCAAACGACATGCAGAAAGATTATTACAACGATTAGATCTTTGGATGGAAATATCTGAACAGCATAATAATCAACATCCATTATCTCCTGTTACACCAACCACATTTAAGGAAATCTCAGAAATTGGTAAACTGTGATATTTTTTCTTCTATTCTTTTTTCATTTTGTTGATCTAATAAAATACATTCATTTTTATTCTTTTAGATCAAAAAATTCTGCCTGAATTTCCTTTGATACCAGCTTCTAGAGGTTTTTGTATTACACTTAGAAAAACATTGGCAATATTTAGAGATGTACTTATTAAAGAAAACATACTACAAAAACCAAGCAATTTACAAAGTTATACAAGTGAAACAGTAAATAATTCTATTCAAGAACGTCAAAAAATAATGGCAACTGTAGAAAATAAAGAATCGGAGAATGATACCAGCAGGAGCAGTGTACAAGCAGATAGTAAATCATTATCAAATGGCAATTTAAAAAAGGACTTAATTTCATCTTCCCCTACAATCCCTCCAAGCGAAAGGAAAAAAAATTCATCAGAAAGAAATACCAGCTAGCCACAAGGTAAACTTATATCCAAATCCAACAGCATAGTTCGCAAAAGTTATATAAAATTTCGGTAATATATTGAATTAATTTATTAAATTAGATTCTGAAAAATGTTTATGATATCTATTTATTAATATTAACATTAATAACGAGATAACTCTTAACAGAAATGCCGCTGTCATTGCTCCGCAGCTAGGAATACTTGATATTGTTTAGTAATCATTTAGTAATATAAATGTAATTGTATAAGGGACATACATATATATAAAAGAGTGATATACTATTCTTGTGCATTCCTTTGTACAATTACAAAATAAAATATAAAATTAATATGTGGTATGAACCATCTCGTGATACCACATATATATTTAGTTCTATAAATTGGCAGCAATAAATAGCTGCCTTATAAATAGAAAAAGATATGACTGATTTGTAAAAGAAATCTTGAATACATGGGAAAGAGATTTGAATACTCTGGATATTCGAAATGATAACAGAAGGTATAATAATCTTTAGCAATATGTCGAGCCAACATTAAATACTTTGCATTAAGAAATATGATAATAATAGTTGTTAATTATGAGTGGATTTCATTGAGTAAATTTTTAGTAAAAATTGCTATCTATTTAAGAATACATCATTTCTTCAATTATATTAAACTCATTATGCCATCCACTAATGTTATATTGAAGCAACTATGAAGTAACTCTAACTGCAGTAGATTGTAGTTTAGAGACAAAAGATTCATATTTAAACAAAATTAACTGACAGATAAGTATAATGTTAAAGATTCTGGTAGAGAATAGTATATATTTAATAACAATCATAACGCTTTATTATCCATAATAGAAGTTTCATTATTGGTATTATTATTTTGCAGTTAATAGAAGAAAGAAGGTGAATTTCTTTAATTTTGTTTTATGAATTTTTTTAAATATATTACACAACTCATGAAGCAATTATTTAAATATTTAACATGTTACTTTAATATTAGTTAATAGTGTGCGTGCGTGCGTGCGCGTGTGTGTGTGTATGTGCGCGCGCGTGTGTGTGTGTGTCTATATATATATGCGCATTTAGATCAAAACAATTCTCAGTATTATTTGTATTTACTTTTAATTTATATTTATAATTTTTTAAATGTAAAAATTTGTTCTATATATAATAAGAAAATTATTATTTCTGTAAAAAGAATATTGTTTTAAAGGATTCATATATTTGAAAAAAAAATTCCGATTCATAGATACAGTAATTGTATGTAAAAAAGTGACACATTTTTTTATTTGTTTTATGATTTTTGTGTTCTATTTTTGATACATTAACAATGATTTAAGTTAATAGTATTCATTACTGAACTTATAAACAATACAATTTGGCATGTTGAAAGTAATATTATTTACGATGAACAAATTATATTGTAACATATCTAGAATTTATTTTTATATGCATAAATGAAAGTTTACTTTATTTACTTAGTACACTATCTTTTTTCTTTTGAAATCAAAGACTATTTAATTTGTAAGAAAAGCTTATAAAGTTTCACTGCATGATTTCACACAAAAAACAATATTTATTAAATGCATAAATCAATTATATTTAATTGAGTAAATACCATATAGATAGATACCATGATGATGAATAAGGAACTAATGTTTATGAAATTTTTCTGGAGATTTACATGATTCCACTATACTATCATTTATATATCACATTTGTGTTTCATCATTATCGTAATATAATTTGGAGCAGTTACTATGAAATTTCACGCCTTATAACGTAATCAAAAAGAAAAAAGGCGGTTTATGATCGTATGAAGGAAAATGGTTTCTTCTGCGTTATATGGTGCTGAATAATTAGAACAAAACGAAAAACGGAGGGGGGAAGAGGAGAGAAAGAGAGAGAGAATATAACACAGAATTTAGTTTGTATTAAAAGAGTGTATAACTAGAGATAATGATATAGCAACAAAGGAATAGTAGAGAAGAGGCAGTGAGCGCAGCAGATAAATTTGCTGCAAATTTAGTGAAAAGTGATGTTTGGAATGCCTTGTATATGTGCCAGCTATTTATATTTACATTTATATTATTATAAAACTTATACTCTCAGAAATCGCATCAAAGCTTTACTTTTGTTGTATACACATATTCTTTGAATAAGGTATAATGAAAAGTGATTATTATATAAATCACTTACATGTATTGGTTTATGCCAGTACTCCTTACAATATACAGGAGAGAGAAAAATAACTGTAACGGAATATACTGCGAGTCAAGTATACCTTTATGAGAGAATCATGCTTTCTTAAATATAAATATTATTTTTAACATTCTTTGAAACAATAATATAACTGCATATAAAATAAACATAAACATAAAAGAGAATATATTATTACGTTATCTTACAGCTAAATACCATTAATATTGAGATTATATACTTATTATCTCCTAATACTCGCAGTAGTTATACCGCCTAGTTTGTCTTCTTCTCACTTGACATTCTCACGCGTTGGTATACTTATCTGAGATCACAACGATTGCGTGAATGATTTACTATATATGTAACTTGGTTCCTTAATTTTCAATCAATAAAAAGTCATTATGAGATTAAGAAATATAACTTCAGATTATTCTTTTCTGTTGATCAGATTGTAAGGACCCGAATCCTTGTCCCATACATCCAGCCACAGTCATTTCGCATTCTGTCAAATTGTAAATCTTCAATGTGCCATTTCTCACGTTAATGAAGATAAATCGTACATAGAGATAAAAGAAGTATATAGACTGAATATCTTCTTAAGAGATTTAATAAAAAGTCATTGTTATACAAGTAATATATCTAATTTGTTTTAAATATATTAAATTTACATAAACTTTGTAAATATACCAAATTTATGACAACAAATGTAAAAGCTTCTTTACCAGACTATTTTAGAAAGTTTACTATCTTTTACTGCATTGCCTACATGAATTTTCTCAGGTACTTTATCTTATAGTATTAAAACAGATAAGCTACATTCTATATTATCTGTTATCACTTGTTATCTATCGTCGTTGATTCATCATCCGACGATCAACGCTACACCCAATTCTTCTTGTCTGCTGAAAAGACGTTCAATTTTATTATTCCTTTAAGTGAAGTTGGAACATTGTATCAATCAACATGTATTCAAAAAAGTTACTATTCTATCTCGCAGTTAGTTTGCGTAAGTAAATGTAAACAAATATTTAAAACATTTTACTGTAAGTATGTGAAAATATTATAAAATACTTACGTTATATTTGACGGTAACATAGTTATTATGGGAATCTTCATCGATGAAACAGAAGCAAGACGTAAAATATTACGCGGTCGTAAGACAATAACAAGGCAATATTACAGTGAGTAAAAATTGTAAAATATTGATGAAATTGTTACGTTTACATGAAAATAACATAAATGTTTCAACTATCTTAGGAGGTACAGCTATACCTGCATGGGCAATAGTGCTACTATGTGGAATCAGTATGTTGTTCATAGGAGGTGGTCTTTACCTTTTACTGCAAAAGTTTGTAATTGATCCAGCTGACACAACAAAAAGCCATTCATACCAACCAGCTGTACAAAACGAAGCTTAATTTTTAATAGATAATTATAATTATATATCATTTTTGTGTATAAAAATCATTAAAATATTGTTCATGTATTTTTCAACTTATGTATCAAGAGGGTACTAATCAATATAATTGTTAAATCATATCTGTATAAACACAGTGACAATATTTTATTTCTTTTGTCCATCATAATTACTTAAACTTCTTATATTGCAGCTAGCAATGTTTTTTAATATCATTATTATTTACTTCTTATTTTCAGATTATCAATTGATTATATTATTTAAACTATAAAATATTCCACGCATTATTAATTATACTGCATTTTTAAAGAATTACAATATCTCATTTCATGAAATGAGCGTAAATTATAGCAAATTATTACTGTAATGCACTGTGCAGTCAAAAATAGTTGAATGATTTCTATATTCTAATTAAAAGGAATTACAGAGAATATTATTCTCGCGAAATATTATTTACTTTTAAGACATATCAGATTATTCACTTGTATGTATCGTACAATACAGCCAATCATTAATTGGTAAGAAATAAGAATCTACATTCTAAAATTCTCTACGATGATATTTATCGGGATCAAAATATGATGTAACTACTACACGGTTGTTGAATTTACGTCCTGTCAAAGTCTGTTGTGCTTTTTGACAATCAATAACGCTGTTAAATTCAACGAATACCTGCGAAATAATAATAAGTTACATATAATAATAAATAACTATAAAAATATAAAATAAATAAAAAATTCTGTAACTTACTTTTCCACATCCTGGAACATCAACACCTTCGATAGGTCTTGGTATTTCTACGGATCGAACTACACCGTATTTGTTGCATTCTTCTTTGATATCTTCTAAAATATCTTCATATTCCTCTTCTTCCATTAATTCTTCTGGTGTAACCATATTCAGTAAGCAAAGTACCTGAAAATATATAAAAATCACGTTATTTCAATGTCCTATGCGAATGATATATTTATTTATATATTTACCTCTGTAGCAGGTCCACTTGTGCCTACCATGGATAAACCAGGTACCTGAATTTGTACAGGAGCTTGTGCTCCTATCATAGGATTCTTTGCACCGACACTAGCTCGTTGAACAATCAATTTTTTGTCTCCTAGCTGCATACCATTTAATCCAGCAATTGCTTGATCCGTCATGGACACATCAACATATTCGCAAAAAGCATAACCTTTTGATAGTCCTGTCGCTGAATCCTTTACTAAATTGAAAGCTCTCAGTTGGCCAAAACTCATCAGAAGCTCCTTTACCTAAATTATCACAACGATATTATTTTTATATTCATATATGTCACATAAAATAATCTATACTAATGTAGACCATGCAATTTTCCCTTTAAAATTATAAAATTAATATTAATTTATTTATATTTATTACTTTAAAAGATTTTATTATTTTAGTGATTATTTAAATTATTTTATTAAAAGGGATTATGTAAATATATGGATATGTAATAGGATTTTCAACAAATTATCTATATGTAGAATATTTTATAGTCTATTATATTATTTTGCAAGATATACATATTGAATAATTAATCCAACAAAGATTTAATAAAGTTAACAATATTTATATAAGACGTGTTCGATTTTGAAATTTCATTCAAACAGAAAATTGCATAGTATAGGAACATGAAACTGATTTTCGAATATGTAGATGTGCCTGTTAACACTTATTTGTAATGTCTATATATTATTTTATTACACACAGTATTTAATTCTGTTTAGTACCTCCTTCCTAAGAAGTTCTAATATATCTAAATTATACCCTTCTTAAGCATAATTTCTCGCTTCTAGAATTTTTATAATTGATTTATTATGTTTGAAGAATGTGTATATATAAACATATATTATACATATATATATATATATATATATATATATATATATATATATATATGCATATATGTACTTATATAGTGATATTACTTACATGAACCCATTCATCACAGAAACTGTAAACTCTGAAATCTAGATAACAGCATGTTGCATCTATCGAGGAGGTAGAATACAACATACCTTCCTCATATAGATTTAACAAAAACATTCCTGATCTCCTCACAAGCCAGCAACATGCTTTTACCGATAAATTCTACCAGAATATCAAAGAACGCACCATTAGCTCAGGAGAATCACAGACTTCGGGAAAGGGGCTGCAAAATCGCATAAGCCCAATGTACGAAGGCATGAAAATGAGATAAGTACTTGCCTCGAGGGACTGGACTAGCCTCTCTCCAGGCAGTGTGGTATATTGTCATGTTCAGTAGTAGTAGTAGTGGTAGAAGTAGTGGTAGAAGTAGTGGTAGTGGTAAGCAAATGCTTTTGATCAGCGCGACCCTAAGCTAAGAAATGGGGAGAAAGGGCACTGGTATCAGTCCACAATTTACTTTTACAATAACCAAAGGATTTTACTTTTCATTCTATGTTAATCATATTCACTGTAAGGAAACTGTTATTAACTCTCCAATGATGCAATATAGCAGTTGTTTATTTTTGTTTCTCTGTCACTCTCAGTATTTTCTCTTTGCCTAAAGACACATTACTGAAATTTGAACACGTAAGTTTCATTTGCGTAACCTGTAAACGCAATGAGGCACAAGATGAAGATCTGTAAAGCCTGTAAAGAAAATAGCTGCAAGGGAAAAAGATATTCCTGAAAAGAATAGATACCAGAAGACTTGGAGCTGTTACCAGATGCACATAAAATTATGTGTTGACCCTGTAATCCCATCCAAAATAAAACCAATTTGCTAGATAAAACGTTGATTTGTTTCACTTGTAGACCTATAAAGAGTCCTGTTGCATAAGCATCATTGTCATAAGAAAGCTGGATGACTCTGTAATAATGTCCTTGCCAAGTACACGTGTTTATATGAAATTTCTGCATCATTCTATGTAATATAATCTTTTCTTAATTTTTTGTACTTTTATTTCATGGATAATAATGCAATTGCAACAATTCCCCTTCCTTTCTTATATTCGAACTGCGACATTTTTGCTAAACTATTCTTGTTCGAGTTTGTCGAATTAGAATTTCTTTGGCTGGACCTAGAATATGCCTAGAAAGTATGTAAAAGAAAAACGACTGCTGCGACTGCATGCCATTTAAATGCTGCAACGCCTCTAACGATTTTCTTTGTTATCTATGTATCTATCCTGCACAACTTTGGGACGATGTGTGACAATGATAAAGGAATGAAAGAAGATATTGAACGCATCTGCTAATCCACAGACATTGGTGAAAGCGAAACCTGATTTTCCTATCTAATGACCTAATCGACGCAGAAATCCAGTGGATACACATACATACCTCTGTAGAATTTTGGCAGACTGGTACACCTTCCTCTGTTTAATCTCCGCTAAATAGCTAAGTACCTATGTTATAATGTAATCTTTTGTTTAACTCACAGTGCTGAGGATTGGCATATTTAATAATCCTACAGCAATAGAGTCCTAACATTTTCGCATTGCAGTTTTCTCCCAGTCATTAATGCTCGTTTTTACAATTTTTATGCAAAACTAAATACACATTCAATAATCAAGAATTGAGCTTCAATGAAAGAGAACTGCATTAAAAAGTGTGCAGTGAATACAAATGATATAGTAGATTTATTTGCATACCTGTTCTTCGTTCAAATAATTCGGTAGACCACCAATGAAAATCTTGTGCGGAGAATCTGTAATAAATAAATATAATATTTTATTAATAATTGTGTTAATAAATATAATATAAATTGACTATATATATTAAAATATTACTCTATAATCACATATTATAAACTGATGTATAAAATGTATGCATAAAACATACCAGGAACCGTACCTGGCACGTTCATGCTCGGATTATCTGTCATTCCAGGCATTGGTTGGTAATCATGAGGTCTTCTTATTTTTAAACTTTGTCCTTTAAAATTGATTCCATCAAAGGCCATGGCTTGTGTAGTTTCATCTATTGAACGAAACTAAAATAAAAGAAATTGAATATATTTACAGAATTTCCTAATAATAATTATATATATATATATATATATATATATATATATATATATATATAAAATGATTGTAATTTTAATATTATACCTCCAAGAAAGCAAAGTTTTTATCTAGATTGATCTGACAAGCAAGGACTGGATTTCCTGCAGCTTGTGCAAGGCCTGATAGATGCATTTGTTGATTGAAGAATTCCATCATTTCTTCTTCTGTGACTCCAAATGGAATATTACCAACATATAGTCTTCTTGCTTGACGAGTGATCGTACTACCGACAACAGGAACAGCAGCTTGAGGTGTATCTGCTACGATATTTGCAGGTATTTGGCCAGCAGCTTGCATTGCTTTATACTGTTATACAAACAATTACAATATTAAAATTAAAATATTTAATAGATAATAACAATTACATTAACTTTTATACATTCTTAAATTACCTGCAAAGGTGTAATATGTTCAAATCCGGGTGGTGGTACATCCCAATATAAAGATGGTTTCCTTCTTCTAGAACTGCGACTTTTTTTAGGAGAACTGCTTCTTTTACGATCTCTGCGATCCTTGGAACGAGACCTTGATCTCTTCCTACGATCCCTACTACGTGATCTGTGTCTCCTGTCACGATCTCTGTCCCTATCACGGTCCTTCTCTCTATCTTGTCTCTCTCGATCTTGTAAAGTAAAGATAATTATGAATTAATATCAAATTAATTATTAAAAGAATCTTTTTTAATACTTTAATTAATTATATCCATATTATATTTAAAGATGATATAAACAGATATTTTTTAATTATATTTTTAATAAAACAATCTCTTTAAACAAAAAGACAATAGATACTTCTCGATAACTTATATGGGCATATTTGCTATTTGTTAGAATATGTCAATGTTTTGAAATTTTTTCAGAAATATATATATTGTATACTTTCATTGTATATACAAAAGAAAGCACACATAAATGTCAATCAAAGCTAGTTAAAAAAAAAAGGCATTTATGAATTTGTTTATGCGTGCCAGTATAAGATCTCCGGCCATTACATTCATAGAAATCCATTCATCTTCACATAACGCGGGAAGACATACAAAGAATGTAGATAAAAGCATCTTATTAGAAAATTTCTCACCTCCATTAAAATCTTCTCCCATCTTTGATCTTCCAATTTAAGTATTACACTGTATTATATGAAAATATGTTTATACAGAACGATAAATTGCATAAATGTCAGCCGCTCCCAAACAGATTTTTATACCGAAATGGCGTGAAGCAACAAGAAGAACAATGAATCTAAAATAACCACTACCAGATGGCGTGAAAAGCATATTGAAGTATCTATGCTTCCTTGCTTTAATTCGAAGAACTATTGTATAATAAACAATGCGTTTTATATCTCACAATGAAAATAGAACAAAAATTATGGATTAAAGATAACCATCTAATAAACAACATAGTAGTAGTTTTACGTATTTCTATGGATTAAAAAAATATGTATGTAAAAATATAAATTCCCTAGGGTTACTCTTTATACAGCGAAATGATCAAGACCAGATTAAATTTTTATTGGTTGCTACGACAGTTAAAAATGTATTCTCATTCGATTTTCGTATATAAACCAAAATGAGATGCTATATAAAGAAGTTATTATATTATCATTATTATATACAGTTTTGATATTTTAATTTTATAAAATATATCAAAATAGCAGAGTTTTTTAATACTACATCAATATCCTGATTGTTTGTAAAACCTTTACAAGGTCTACAATTGAAATAGTTAAGTTAATCAGTAAGTTAAGTTAATCAATTAAATTTTGTAGAAGTTGTGCAAGGCCTCTCAATTTCAGTAATCTTATAAATAATAGTTTGAGGACCCGCATGTAGTTAACGTTTTACATTAAAGAAATATGGAACAACAAATATTAGAAGACCGTCTGAAAGAAGCAGTCTGTATTGGGGATACGGATGTAGTTCAGGAACTTATCAATTTAGGCGTCAATGTTAACACGCAACGTATTGGTTCCGGATGGTATTAATATTGTTGACATTATACATTAAATAATACAACTTTTTCTTTTATAAATATCAATTATTTTCAATTGTCTTTAGTCACAATATATTATTTCATTTTACTTATAGTTTTTTTTATAATTAATATCCTTTTGAAAGGACACCATTACATTGGGCTTGCAAAAAAGGCTTTTTGGATGTCGTTTCTTTACTTTTGAAGCATGGTGCGGATAAAAAGATAAAGTCAGAAAATGGAGAATCAGTAAAATCGTTATGCTCCAATGAAGAAATTTTACAATTATTAAATTCTGATATTCAATGTAATACAAATGGACCAATGATACATCAATTTATGCCTAAATATAAAAAGAATGTAATTACCAATGTAGATCCTATGCAGCATTTAGGAGTGAATCATACTCGATATGAATTGAAAAATAATAACCATTTGCAAGATGGTAAAAAATTCATATTGCTTAAAAGAATATAAAGATATTTCAGATATATTTCAATAAATATTTGTATTTATTTTTTGTTTATAGAATTAGTAATAAAAGTACGTATTGCAAATGCACCTGATCCTGACTTTGTGGAGGTTGAACTACCTATGAATGATTTAACATACCAAACATTAATACAGATATGTTGTGAAGAATTTGGATTATGTCCATATCAAATTTTGAAGTTACGAAAATTACCAAATACTAAACTGAGAAAAGATAAAGACATAAAACGACTTCAACACTTTCAAGAAATTGAAATAATAACAGATCCAGCAAATGTATATAAACATGTACAATATTCTAACAGTGTTCCTAATAACATTTCATCTACACCAGCTAATGGATATCAAAGTATTTCACATAAAGACCAAACTATTTTATATTAATATCATTTTTAATTCATTTATATTAAGGTTTGTGGAAAATCAGAACAAATATTTTCATTTTCGATTATCGTTATTTAATCTCAATAAGAAATAGAATATTATAATAATATTATGAAAAAATATTGATAAATATTTACATGTATTTATATTTAATAATACAATAATTAAAAACTTTGTTTCTAGAATTAATAAATAATATAATAAAAACAAAAACAAAATCATTACTTAGTTTCTTCTATATTTTCTTCATGACTATCTTCAGATTCTCTTGAAAATGTTTGCTTGACTACAACATTACCATCAGGAGTAACTATCACATTAGCATCATCAAATAAAGTAGTAAGTTCTCCTTCTACATTGCAATATGCTTTTGGTCTTTTAGGTTTTACAACAGGAATATGTACAGTATTCTTATTTTCTGAGGATGAAATTTAAATCAATTATAATAAATTTATACTCAATATGAATGTTACAAATTCATAATACTCACTTAATGTCATGTATATAGGAAGACCTGGTCCGGTTGGAGTTTTTAATCGAATAGCACGAATATTTGACCAACCACCAGGATAGACTTTAGTTAAACGGTTACAAACAGTAAAAACATTCTCTAAAATTTGCTTCTTCTTCATAGAGGTATTTGCTACTTGTACTACATGAGTATCAGCAAAAGAATGTAATTGCATAGTAGTTTTTCTCAAGGCATAATCAATTTCACGGTTTAAATCTTCCTTATTCATTTTAATGGAAGTTGGAAGTTTGCGTTTTTTGTAAAATATTTTTCCTAATAAGTGCGACATGTGTCCGGCAATTTTTCCATCCACTAAGAAATAATCATAACTAGCAACGAGTTTTCTTTTCAGTTCATATTGATCATATTCTGTCTTAACTTGATTCATAGGTATTATGTCTTTGATTTTTGTACATCCACATTTTTCAAGTAATTCCTTATAATGATTTATTGTTGGCTCATAATCCTTTCTTCTACCCCTTTCGAGATCACATACAAAGAGTGCAATATCATCATCTGATGATACAATAGAATATGGTAATAATCTATAACAATATATGGATTATCAAATTTAATTAAAAATTTAATTAAAAATAAAAGAATATATATATACACATTATATATATATATATACATATATATATATATATATATATATATATATATATATCAAAGTAGCATCATTAGATAAATTATAATCATAAAATTTCATAAGGATCCATTGGTAATTATAAAGTATAATCATTTGCTGGTTTTTAAGTATAAATTAACTATAGAAGCATTATATCTACAATATTAAAAATTTATTAAATGTTTTAATTAATATTAATATAGAACTTACATTCTTACTTGTCTTCTTGATATCTTTGGTATCCTGATACAAGTTACCTGCATAAATATTGGCTGGGATCCTTCAGGGAATAATATATTTTTATTTTTTAACTGCTCTTGCGTTAGATGAAAAATAGCTGAAATGCATTGTAATACATGCTTCCTTGATAAATCTTTGAGATTAACATCATCACCATCTTCTTTTCTTTCAATTTTTGCTATTTTCTTTTGCAACTTTTTTATATGCATGTTTTTTATATTAGTGACATCTTTTATAATAGTCACTTGTTGCTGTTTTGCATAAGTATCAAAATCATGTTTTGATTTCTTCAGTATCTCTACATTAGATAGAGACCATTTTTCTTTATTTGTTTTCTGAACGTTATTTTTTATCTTCATACTTTCTTCCTTATTAATTGGGATATTATTTGTAATATTTTTAATATTTAATACTTGCGTATTATTTTTGACTTCATCATTCGTAACAGCTTTAAGTTTCTTTTTTTCATTTGTTTTTCCTTTTATAATTTTTTTCCCTTTTTCTTCGGATGCTTCAACGATTATGTTGGAAATATTTAAATTTGTTAATCTCTCAATAGATTTTACTTTTTTTTTTCCAACTAAATCACATTTTTTCTTTTTTTTCTTTTCAACAATTTTTGAATTTAATTTTACTTTTATATCTTTTTTAGATATTTTATTTACATCTTCACTTAATATTTTTTTCTTTTTTGTTACATTCTTTAACAGTTTCATTTTTTTTAATAATTAAAATAAATTTTAATTACACGTGCTCTCCTTTCTATCTTTACGCGGCAGAGAATGAAGAAAGAAAGATCGTAGAGAAATCCGATTTGTATATTGACATAAAATATGAAAATGAAGATAGAATACTTCAATCGTATTTGGGTTTAGTAACGCCTTTGTCGGATTATTTTCAAACTTTTTTCATGACGTTTTCATGATTTTTTTCTGTGGAAAAAATTATTAAATGCATAGAAATGAAATTTAAGCAGAAAATAAATAAAAAGAAGTTTAAGCTAGTAATATCGATATGAGAAAAAGAAAAAAAAAGAATAAAACATAATGAACACGTAGACATTTGATTGATTGAATGTAGGACGTAAGCTATAATAATCTCGTAGATGCGAAATTTTCTATTGCTATACTTACATCTTACGTTGAAAAATATAGGGAAAAGAGAATAATCGACTCTGATTGGTAGATTTCTTTATCCTTACGTCGATACATGTGTGAAGACCTTTAAGAACTCAGTTTTATTCTAATATTTGGAAAGTGACACTGATGTTGTTTTGTTAAACTTTTGTGTTAATGTGGTGTGATTCTAATATCACTATAAACTTTAGTGTTTCGACATTGGCACTCCTGGATTAGTGAATACATGATTGAACAAAAAAGATTGTTACAGAAAATATTTTTTAGATACACATACGCACACACGCAAAAGAATCGAGCAGACGAATTTTATTCTTTATTTTCGAAATTGAAAGCTTACATAATTTTGTCTGGCATTAGTGTAGGACACGACTAACACTAAAGAATTCAGTTATGCCAATATCGAAAAGTCAAAAAGTAATAACAATTTTGAAAGCTACACCAATCCACAGTGTATTAATCTAAGTTAAATTGTCAATTGTGGTCATAGAAAAATTAATATTAAAATCGATTATTTTTCTTGAAGTTAGAAACAGCCAATAGTTATATAATATATGTTTTATTAATGTATGTCTTAAATTATATATAACATAATTAATAAATATTAATAATTAAAGTTATTAATTAAGTGTAAAATCTATACAAAAATTTATGCAAAAGATAATAATATTATCTTACTTTCATTGTATCCCTTTGGAAAATGAAAAGAAAATTATATATGTAAAATTTTTGTTATACATATATGTACAATTATACGATAATAAAAATCCCGTTATTAAATAAAATAGATGAAATCAATAGCGAGTAAAGTAACACTTGGTTAACCAACACAATCGAGACCACTTTCATAACGAGCGGTTCTTTTTTATCGTAAAATGATCTCATTTCTTTCTTCTTTCTATTGTTTTCTTATTTTATTTTTCAGTTTTTACATCAATAGAAACTCATTATATGTCGAGCGTTTGAAAGTGATAGAACATAAATGTGATGTCGCGTTTCTTTCGATTCTATAATGTATTATAGTAATATTCTATGAGAGTGCATGATTTTAACAATTCGCTGATACGGTTCACTTAACTTAATTCTTGAAGAATTTACTGTACATAATGTTGATATTTAGAAACTACCGGCGCGTTTTTATATATTTGTGTGCTATTTCTTTATTCATTTACAGTAGTAATGTTATTATTAATAAATGTATCAATAAAAGTTCTGTTAAAGAAATATCATCTTTAAATACCAAAGAACGAAATTTATTGTTTCCAAAAGAATTAACAATGAAATTTAAGAAACAAAATATTTCGGACAAGGAGGTATTGCGTTGTAAGCTAATCGTCAAACTTTACCAATAAATGTATTGTTATAGTATATAATTTCTTCATCTTTTCAAGTTAAAAAATTTGTCTATACTCGGAAAATGGCTTCTGTCGTCCGAAAAATCTTTACCGCTCATAATCAAGAAAAAAAGGAAACCTTATATAATTTTAATTTGGAGACACGGACCATTCTTGGAAAGAAGACATATTAGACGTTTTACTAATACTAAGTCAGCTTTGTGTTTATATAATTACGTGTACACAATTCCACCATATTACCTACATTTCTCTTTCTCAATTATTTCAGATATTCACCATGGGAAAATTGTTCGGTCACTGATTGCTTATTGAGTTACGATTCGCAAGACTTGAATAAAGCAGATGCACTTTTATTTCATCTTCATCTTACGAGAAGTGTAAAAGATTTACCTGTTAGAACTCGTTGGGATCAAAGGTGGATCTTTTTAACAGACGAATCGCCAATGCACACATTTTTATATAAAAATCAAAAGTTATCAGATTACAATGGCTTATTTAATTGGTCAATGTCATACCGCATGGATAGTGACATACCTGTACCTTATGGTAGAACTATTCCAATATCGTCAACGAAAAATTTGTTCAATAATTTAACATATTTACGTAATAGTTTTATAAAATCGAAAACTAAATTAGTTGCTGTAATGGCCAGCAATTGTTCTGGCAAAAACCAAAGATGGGAATACATACGCTTTCTAAAACTTTTATTGGCTGAAGATTTCGATATTTATGGACGATGTAGGGGAGGTAATATGACAGCTTGTCCTGGTCACTTTGATAACGATTGTCCTGCTTTAAATGTTTATAAATTTTATCTTGCATTTGAAAATTCAAATTGTAAAGAATATTTAACTGAAAAAGTTTTTTGGAATGGATATAAAAAATTTGCCGTTCCAATAATCATGGGTCCTTCGAGAAATGATTGCGATCGACTTTTACCATTAGGATCATATTTACACGTTGATGATTTTGCTAATCCAATCGAATTAGCGTATTATCTAAAATATTTACATCGCAATATTGATAATTATCTTAAATTTCATGAATGGCGTCGATATTACGAGATATTGAACGAACACGGTTATTTTGGTAGCGTATCTCGTCACTATTGTCGCATTTGTGAGGCTTTGCATTATAATTCTCGAGCGAACAAAGTTTATGAAGATCTCGATAATTTTTGGGGCAAAAAAAAATTCTGTTCATAGATCGAATTAAAATATCTTTGAAAATATGCGAAAGTTTGTAATAAAAATATATATTATTAACCTCTTAGCTGTAAATAACGAGTATACTTGTTATGTAATAAAAGTAATTGTCATTTGTTATTTAAATATTTAAAAACGTTTTCAAATAAAAATAAAATGAAAAAAAATTACACAACTCAATTGAAAAAAAAAACTGCACATAGAGTAATCCATAAAATATTTACAAATTTCTGACTATATTATTTTTTTATTTATTTCTTTAATTTTTTATCCATTATTTCAAGATATTTGTTAATTTCTTCAAGAATGTCTTGAAGAAATTAAACTTTTTCCAATACAAATGTTTTTTATTGTTAGAGGACATAAGTATTATGAATCTTCTTCTACAAAAACCGTCTTCTACAAAAAGCTTGAGTTTTTTTTTCTAACAGGCATTATCAATTATGTTTTTTTTATTATGTACGTAACTTATCAGGTAACCAATAATGTATTGGTGTCACGATACTGTTTTTTAAGAAAATTTTTTTATTGCCGAAAAACGATCACAAAGAATCGATTAATTTCTTTCTTGTTTTTTTTTTTTTTAAAAAGAAAATGATAAATCTTTAACAAATGTGTATTGATTTTTTTTTAATAAAAAATATATCGTTAATCATGTATGTACTTATTAGTACTTAAACATCAAATACGTGCGTACATGTGTAGATATAGTGTGAGAAAAATTATCATATAGTATACATATCTCTAATAATTTTTTATAGATAATATATATTAAATCATAATTTTCTGAAATATATTTTCTCATCACGATGGATATAAAAATATACGTAGAAATTCTATCGACTTTATGATATAAATTTTATGATAACCTCAATTTAATTTTCATCTATGATTGTGTACTTACAAAGCTGATAATTTTTTTAATTCTAATGTGTATTACTCTTCTTATCAACATAGTCAATATTAAATAAACATCTGATTGTGTGGCATATGAAGAAAACAGTTAAGTTCACAATCATTTAAGTGTATAATATGTAATAATTATTCCAATGTATAATATTTTAACTCAGAAACTGTTTCGCGTTACCAAGGCATCGATAAAACGAGACTTCTTATGGTATCAAACGATTATATCTCGATACATTTTATACTCTTATTGGAGTAAATGTAATACAAAATATATTGCAAATATGTCTATAAAATGCTTTCAAGGGCACAAGGACATCTATAACGGTGTAACTATACATTCCATTGAAGAACCTTGTCCCATCACAGTGTTTTCCCAATGTTTACAAGGTACAGAACTGCCCTATTTTCTATAGTTTTACTTTTAAAAATCACAACTATTTGATATTTATTTATGATGTTATAGATCAAGTAAATTACACATTACAAATAATATATTATTAAACAGACTCATATTATATTTTCACATACATGAAGGTCTAGCAATCAAAATCTATATTCTAAATTTATATTTTTCCAACTTCACGACAATATTTGTTTTTCAATAAAAGATTTTTTATAGCTTCCTTAAATATCTGGTCAGAACAAAAGAAACGGACAATATGGTTTCATGTGCACTTGTCGCACTCCGAATGGATACCAATTTTAGTACAAAAAGGTTTCAAATTTCATCATGCACGAGAAGAATATGTTATGTTATATAACTGGTTGAACAAAGAAATAGTTTGTAATATTCCACCTTATGCTCATACAAATTTAGGTGTAGGAGCATTTGTTTATAATGAAAAAACTTCAGAAATTTTAGTTGTGAAGGAAAAAAATTACATAGGAAATCAGTTTTGGAAACTACCAGGTGGTTATGTCGAGCCAGGTAATATCTCCAAATAAAATAAATTTGATCAATGAACAATTTTAACATCTTTATTTTCTAGGAGAAAATATAGATGAAGCTGCACAAAGGGAAGTGTTAGAAGAAACAGGTGTTCAAACAATGTTCAAATGTCTTGTAACTTTTAGACATGCACATAATGCTGCTTTCAATTGTTCTGATATATATATGGTAGCTTACTTAACGCCTAATACTTTTGACATTATAAAGTGTCAAGTAGAGATTACTGAATGTCGATGGATAAAGGTAGGAACTATAATTAATGAATATATGTTTATAAATTTTACTTTCTAATTAATAAATTTGTTTTCATAGATTGATGAGTTTTTACAACATCCAGAAGTACATGAAACTAATCGTATATTTGCTAAAAAAATGATTGAATTTTTGAAGAATCCCATAGGGATTACTGCAGAACATGGAACGCATCCAATTACTAAAAAACCTATTTGTATATATAGCATATTAATGAATAAAAACATATGTGAATGTAAAAAATAAATTAATTATATAATATCATGACAGAATAAGTAATAAATATTTTTAAATTATAAATTCTAGAACAATTTAATATATATGTATACAAAACATTAAAAGATATGAATTATCTTCTCTATTTCTTTTAGTTTTCTTTTTATTATGGAATTTTTTTTCAGATAAGAAAGTAATATTAACAGTAAGTAATACTAAGAAAGCAAACAGTTTTATGTATACTTATAAGTTTTAGTAAATTCAAAAATTTTGAAGATATAGTCATAATGCATTTGTGCAGTTAGAAGGAATAACTTACTACACATAGCACTATATAAATTTTGTCCAAATTTTTTGTTTTTTCTTAAACACGTATATACATTATAATATTTTTTTTTAATGAAAAAAATGCAACACATGTTGGTTGTATGATGTAAGAATCTTATTATTGCGAAATTTTTCATCGTTACAATTTACGTCTTACGTTGCAAAATGTAGAAAAAAAGGGAATAATTAACTTTGATTGGTGGATTTCCTTATGTTTTTACCTTACATCGAGACGTGATGAGAGATAAACGAAAGCAATAGTAAGAATAAATGCAGAAAAGAAAGAAAAACCATACGAATATAGGATAAATAAAGATATAATGAAGACTGGATATTTTATATATGGCAAAATAACATAGGAATAGCAAAGGTAGAAAGTAAGGTTATGTAAATTTAAAAAGATGATAAAATAGAGTCCGATGAGACGTATTTCTTGTTAATAGCCACAAAATTTAGAATTTATTAACCGGAATGATCTTAGACTCAAAAGAATACAGCTCATAGAATCTTTTTCTACTTTCTTTCTTATTATATCAGTATTTCTATATTAGGATAACGATCAGAAAAAGATTATGTGCCGTAAGTTTCTTTTCACAAGAAGAAAGTGTACGTTTTACATATCCTGTATCCACTCCTAACAAAAAAGATAGCACACGCTTGCTATCTTTAATTTCTCATATTATATATTCTTATATTATTAACCCCATCGCTGCGAACAGCGCCTTTAGGCGCTCAACTATAGACGCTTTTGCTGAACGAACAGCACCTTTAGGCGCTCAACTATAGACGCTTCTCCTGAGCAAACAGCGTCTATAGGCGTCGTGCATTTGTTTTGCATTTTTGGCTATTAATAACTGCAAAATAATGACCATTAATTCGTTTATCTTCGATGCGTTAGCTGTATACGCTTCTCGTGCAGAGATTTTTTCGTATAATCAAATAATATTATCCACAAATTATGCCCCTATCATAGACAAACGGACAAATATGATCTGCGATGATATAGAAGAATCATCGAATTCTGACCTTTCTGCAATTTTTGGAGAAATTGTATACAAAGGTAAAAAGCAAACTCATACTATAGGAGATGCATATTGTCAAGTAGCTCGGAATCTTATTCCGAAAATATTGACGAATTACCTGACATCGATCCATGGCAATTTCTTTGGAGCGCACAAAATTTAGTTCCGAAAGTTTTTGATTTTGATGAAACTCTATCAGGAGTTAAAGTTTCAAAAAATATCATATGTTAAAAACTTATAAATAATTATTTATAACGGATATAGGAACGACTCGCGTATCGTGTTATCCGCGCGGACAACCTTCTACTATCGCGCCTGCTGTAATAGTAGAAGGCAATAGAAGAGAGAGCAATTTTTTTCTGAGCACTCCGCAGGATTAATAATGGTAGTACGAAAATTGTGAATGCTATGCGAAGATGACCTTTTACAAACATATAAATATAACTTAGATTGGTATTATATCAATGAGTTGAAATGTTAACGATAGAAATAAATTGGTAGAAATATAAACGTACAAATAGATACAGACAAAATAAGCATACTTAAAAAATATAAATGTATATTTCCTATTATACAAGTTATTAATACAAAAATATATAAATAATGTAGTTATAGATTTTTTTGATAATGTGTAGAACTTCCATGGTTTTTAATTATTTCTTATACTCGGTTGATAAGGATTTATACAAGACTTTAATTGGATAGGAAAATATTTTCCTATTCTCTCTTAATGCAGGCTTTTAAATTGTGCAAATTTTCAAACTGTCTGCCTTCTGTATAGACAGCTTGCGATAGTAATCCCTAATAGTTTTCAATGATATTGAGGTCTGAGGAGTATGCTGGCCATTTAAGAACAAACATTTTCTCATTGGAAAAATATTCTTGAATAATGATTTCTCTTGCAGTGGTACAAGAGTTTGATATAGCACGGAGTATTGCCCTTATTTTATGAGAGACAGTTTTTTTTTTTTACTATTGATAGTTCCAGTAAACAAAAAGCAACATTTTTACAGAATCTAGATGGGATTTTGTTATCCTTTTTCTACATTCATTTGCAGCTTTCCAATTTTGTTTGCGCTGAATATTGTTTATACATCTTTTATATTAGTTGAATCTTTTGTTTTTTCAGCGATTTTTCTTGGAGTTCTCTTAAAACTAGAAGCAAATGCATTGGATAGTTTGTTTATTGTGTTTTGTTGTTACAGGGTTTTCCAATTGTTTTTTTTTTTTTCATAAATTTTAGGAATTTTTAGAAAATTATATATCACATTAAGACTCCTATTAAATAATTTTGCAATTTCTGTGATTGTATTATTTCCTGACTGGAACAATAAAATCTGATCAATTTTACTTTTATTTAATTGCTTTCCTATACTCATTTTTTCTAGAATTATTTATTCTAGAATTAGACGCACCAATATTGTAACTAAATGAAAGATTTACATGTTTGCTTTAAATCATTGTTGACTAATTACTGAAAAATGGAAAACATGTTCAACTAAGATCAGTTCGTGTTGAAAGATATCAATTGAAAGATATTATCATTATAAAGAATCTTATATTGCAAAATTTTAAGAGCATATTTAATAGGTTTGTGAATAAAATGACTTCATATATTTTGTAAGTCGTTGCATGGAATAAGAGCTGCAAACCCTTTTACATAAATAATTATTATTTACACTCCGCGACAAAATGAAAGGAAACTCATGGATTTTTTGTGTTCCTTAAAAATAATCATATGCGCACAATTTATGCCTTTTTTCAGGAATTATAGCTGTTTAGGTGAAAATGTGTACGGCAAAATCATAAGATACAAATTTTTATTTGATTCAATAATACATACAGATCCCTTTTCTTTTTATAACTTTTAGCATCCTCTTAGATAGTGATATACAGCGATGAGTAAAATTGAACACATTTTACACATTTTTGAAAATAATTAATATATATCAAAATTTTGACAGTATAATATAAATATTAAAATAATATATGAAAACTAATTGTATTTAAAATCATTTAACGGTTGCTTATGTTTTTTTTGTATCGCCTATTATCAAAGATAACATTGTATTTTGTGTTGCACTGAATATTTATTGAGGGCTTAATATTTTATCCAGTGGTCTTTTGCTTTTAGTACTGCATTTATCCTTTACCATTTATCTTTAATCTTTCTGCACTAATCTTTCACTATAAACCGGACTTATTTTGTCTCATTTTTTCTGAACTCTAATCTAAAGATTATCGATTGATGTTAACATTGTATGATATTCACAATGTAACTTTTTTTTAAATGACCCCATAAATTTTCGATCGGATTTAAATACGAACTTTTTATAGATCAATTTAATAATATAAAATTTTTATCATTCAGCCAGTTGGCATTGATTTTGCCATTTGTTTAGGATCCCGAAGCTGCTGGAACGTTACTTGATCCTCGGGATTTCCGATAGAAATGATAGAAAACTGGGATTGTAAAATCGACAAGTAACTATATTGCTTCATAATGCCAACAATTCGGTGTATTACTATTTCATAGAATATCATACATCCCCATATCATAAAGCAGCCATCACTTCAAATTATTTTGACGTGGTATCGTTTACGGCTTTTACCTTTCCTCTTCCAATACCATGTTTTGCCATCTGATATTCGATTAATTTTTGTTTCATTGTACCATATTACACTTTTCCTTGTTCAATAGTCCAGTCCTTGTACTTCTTTGAAATTGCTTTTACATTTTTCCTACATAGTATATGTTTTGATTCTTTTTCATCATATATATTATAATTCTGGTCCTTTAATTCTCTCATCGTTGTTCATTTACTAATCGACTTTCCTGTAGATTCCTTTAATATATTTGCAGCCATAGAATCGCATTTGAATTACAAATTTTTTACAGGAGGATATTCTGGTCATTTAATAATAGAAGAACTGAACCTGCACATTTTAAATAGAAATGACTTGTGATTGATTAATGAATCTGATAAATTTTAATGGAAAATAAAAATTCATTTTCAAGTAAATTTTTTAATGAATTTTTGTTGTGATAAATAAATGACAAGGAAATGTAATTAAATTTATATTTTTGAAACATCTTGTTTTTTTTTTGCTTTTCCAATTATTAATTATTATTAAATTCCATTCCTCTCGAATAAACACGTCGGAGGGGCTAACTCTGCCTACATATTTTCTATTATGTTTAGATCTGGAAATCTTGCGTGCCAATCGAAAACTTTTATACTTTTTGGACAAAAATAACTTTGCAATAAATAATTTTCTTCTTTTTTTTTTTTATTAACCCCAAATTGAAGTTCTTGCAATTTGTCTAATGAGACATTCGGTAGGTTCAATTAGCAGATAAGGGCAGTATAAGGGCGCTATTTTTAATGGAGCAGCATTGATGCAGTAATCATATCTATACCAGGATTACTAGGTTCTGTAGTTGTTTTTTTCTTCAATCTTCTTATGTTAGCAAAGTGTTGATTAACAAATTTGGGTGGTTTATTGTTTACTTTGTATCTGTCGTCGCTATATTTTCTCTTTTACAGTGGGGATTTCTTGATCTTTACGTAGTTCTTCATTTTTATATACCATAATGCGTCTACTATTGTATGTAGTATGATCGATTGATTTTTTATTTTGTCAATATGACTTTTTGCTGTTGTAGCCCATAGCTGGATGCCGTACATTCCGACAGATTTTATTATAG